GGGGGGGGGGGGGGGAGGAAAAAAAAATTAGGGTTATATTTCCAAGGTACTGGCTACTTCCACAAAGTAGCGCAGTAGTAGTTCACTGCTTCAGCTGAAGAAACTGTTTTTACAGAAGTCTTCTCTTACCAGAAAGAGATTTTTACCCACCCATTGTAAGGGCTCTTTGAAGCTTGCTGCCTCTCTTCTGGCTCTTTCTTAATGGTTTTGGTATTCAGAGACACTGGACTCTTCTCTTCAGTTTTTACTTCTCTGGGGGAAGCTAGGAATTAAATTGAAATTCAAAATTAGGTATTTTATTCCTAAAACTCTAATAAACACACTGAACCCTTCACACACCTCTCCCAGCATTTGCCCAAAATGTAAATACGAACTCAACAGCTACTATTTCCTGCCACCTTTCCCTTTAGGGTTCACTCCGGGGAGACACACTGTAGTTTAAAGGCAAATGCCATCATGGGGGGGACAATGCTGTGCCCCTCAAGCCGTGCAGCCAGGCTCCTCTGAGCTTTCATTTTACAAAATAAAAGGTGCCCTTCTGGCCCACAAATACATGAACTGTTACCGTGACAGTCAATTTTCAATACTGTGAGAATTAAAATCTGTAATTTTGCTGTTCAGTCTTGTTTTTATATCAGTGGTACAAGTGTAATGAAAAAAACAAAAAATTATTTAATTTAGAAGTCAACCTGTCAGCTGATTCAGCCTGGAGATGGATTCTCCCCTTCCAGCTGCCCTGCTGAGAGGAAGGAGCTGCATTAGGCCCTCACCTTTCTCACTCCGCAGGGTTCAGAGGTTTCGTATAAAACTACAGACAGGAAGAATTCTGACAGAAGCTTTCCCTGTTTGTCAGCTTGTAAGAATTCTTCCAAAAATCTCACCAGAGGCCCTGCTTTCACTCAAACTCTTCTACCTGAGGCTCCCACTTCACTGAAGAAAGAAAAAACTGTCATTGCTTAGTGAGAAATTTACACCCAAAGGCCTCTGGGAACTCAGCTGTAGTGTTCCTAACGAGAAGTAACTGCTCCAAATATTGCTTTTGCAGAGTATGTTCTTAAGTTCCTGAGGAGGTCATGTAAAACCGTGCCTGTGCTACCTTCCTGACCCACCGTCCCTGGAGCAACGCTCACGACAGCCTTTACATTTTGTTGGTAGTTCACAGATCAACAGCAGCATTAAAAGGTAAAAGCACGGAGACAAACTGTTCTTTGTATCGTTAGAATTCAGACAGATTTCTTGGCAGGTTTGAGATACACATCACAATTCAGGCACCAACGCCAAGACAGCACTGCGACCTTCCTGTCTCTATTTCCTGGCCACAAGCTGTCTTCCTTCACAGCCCTTCAACAGTGGACAAGTGCATTTTAACAACAACAAAAAAAAAAAAAGCAACTGTCAACGATAGCTGCTACAAAAGGAACCATGAAGACTGATGGGACATCCCCCAACAGATTAACAGAGTCTTTCCACAACCCAGTAATGCACAGCAAACTCCCAGGTCTACACATTTTCATAACATAATTACCTTATTATTATATATTAATATTATTAAAATACTCTTCCACCTGTGGGAGTATAGAGTAAACTACCTCCTTTCCTTCTAATCTGCTATTTCAAGGTATTGAAACTGGTTTTAAAATTTGTGTTTGTTTTTTTTTTTTTAAAATTTATCTTGCTTCTTAGTTCTGTGAAAAAGCCTAAATTGTCTTAACAGCTCGAAAATAAAACCTACTCTTTTTTTTAAATGCCGTGGGACACAGATTTAGAAGACTTACCAAATAGTCTTATGCAACTTTCTGTTCAGAAAACAAAAGACTTACATGGTTTGGATGCAGGAGAAAAGCCACCCAGTGTCGAGAGTGCTGGAGTTCCATCTGGATTTAAACCTTTTGCCTTCAGTTTAGCTTCCTGTAGTGCCATTTTCCTCTTTTCTACTTCTTTATCCAGGAATTCGTAATTGGGCTGTTAAAATAACAATGCGGTAAGAAGTCAAACTAACGCAATTTGTCTTTTCATCTCATTTCTGAAAAATACTCAGTTAGCTTTTAATCCTCTGTCCTGTAACATAACTAAGTTCCATAAGTGGTTCCCACACTCCCCTCAGAGGAGCAGCCACACAAGCAGAGCCTCTCCAGTTTGCAGATTTGTATGCAGGGGTTCCCAAACACACTTAAGACAACCCTGAGATAGCTCAAGCCGTGCTGAGCACTGACCAGGAAGAACAAACATCTCCAAGTTACCTTCTTCCTGGTATAGAGCTTCAGGGTCGTTAAGCATATCTCCTGAATCTCCTCTTCCGTGGTGCCAAAGAGCAAGAACCAGTGAGGACGGGTAGGTAGTGGAATCTGAAAATAAAACCACCAAAAGCTTAATGAGAGAGATTACACACCAGGTTTTTGTTTTAAATATTTTTGTTAATTTTCTTGAAACTGGATTACTAGCAGTAAAAGGCAACGCTAACTGAAGATGGGCAAGTACTCACCTGCAGAGCTCTAGCAGCGAGATAAATGCAAGCACATGCTATAGTCTCTGGCTGAAAGCGAACAAACACGTTTGTTCGAAGGCTGTCATTCATGTAATTCCTAAAAAAAAAAATAATTTAGGAAAGGTTGGATCTTCCGTTTACATCTTTTTGTTTAGAGGATAACAATACTGGAGACTCAATTGACTTTATTATTTTTTCTGTTATTAAACACTTGTTTTCTTTCAAATTATCGTATTTGATGTTTACATTTGTTACTTCTGTAACAAAGTTTGCACCGTTGCCATCGTTTTGAAACCCCAATGCAAGTAATAGTACGTAGCGGCTACCTCCCAGGTAGGCACGTTAAGTTTATCCTGTGAAGTGTCCATTGAGTTAATCTAACAAGCACTTTTCATCTGTCCAGCTGTTTGCTTTAAACACCAACGTTCTCGCAGTTAAAAATCAACACGCTTAAAACTCAAATGCAAGCATGAAAGCACGGTGTATTTTTAACCTACCATTTTCCAGAGGCTAGACGCAACCTCTACCGTTCATAAAACATTGCATTTAAATCCTACGTGTGCCTTGAGTCACATTAACTTCATCCAGAGAGAAAGCATCCGATTTGCTCACAGAGCGTTGGAAAAAGACCTGCAAGTTAGTAATGGGTCTCCCACTCCACTAAGCTACTGTTCTTCCACCAGAGTGGCACTGCCAAGCAACACATGCCAAGAGAGACATTTAATCAGCAGAGACCTCCATCGATTTCTAAGTTACTGAGCTACAGCGAGGAAAGAAATGAACAGCAGTCAAGTAAGTATGGACTCTACAGAAAACTATCCCCGATATGGCTTCTAAGTGAACATGCTGCATGCACGGTAATTGTCTCTTTTTTTTTTTTTTTTTTTTTTTTTTTTTTCAAATGCTAAATCAACTAAAGAAATGTTGGCAGAAAATCTACCCCATGTCTCCTTTAAATACACTACAGTATACAGTAGCTAGGCAACAAACACATTTAGAAACATTTTTAACAGTTACTTCTAAAAGCAAATATACAAATCCTTTTTGACACCCAGACAGAACTAGAAGATGCTGCCCGATGGATATGGACCACTTCAGTGAATCTCGGATGAGAGCTTGCACTGGGTTGGCTGGAGAGAAGGGCAGCCAAACAGGCCATCCCCAGGTCATGGGCTGAGGTGCAGAGGGCAGAGCTCTATGACTTACCATCATGGACTACCCTTTAATTAAAGAGTAGAAAAAAGAACAAAGTTAAATTGAGTTCTCCATTACTACACTGGAATCAAGCCATGAAAATAGTAAGCAGAAACAAGCACTAAAGTATTTTAGAAGTATATGTTTGTGTAATAACTTACATCTCATTGCTTTGCATATGGATCATCAGGCTTGTTATTTCTGCTACTATTTTCCTGGCTAGGAAAAGAATGGAAAATAACAACTTACCAGGCTGTCTGTACCAGGGTTTGATTACGTTCACATTCTAAGACTTGTAAATACATAACAATGATCTGAGGAAGAAGGAGAGGAAAAAAGAGACTCAGTTCTAACATAAAGCAAAGTAAGGAAGTAACTATGTACAGCAGCCACACAGTTCCAAAACAATATGCTCTCCTCCTTTTCTAAGCACACACTGCAAGCTCACGTCACTCAGTCACATCCAGACAATTCTTTATTTTACTACTTTTCCATGATTTTCAAAACCAGTCACCTTCAACATTTCCCAAGGAAGCAATTTCTACTGAAGTCAATGTGACTATTTGCCCAAGCACTCTGGCAAAAGCATTCACGGTAACTACTCAGGAATAAAGCAATCAGGTCATTTAACACCTGCGTTTCTCGTTCCACGGCTCACAGTGACGATATCAAGGTAGATTAATATTTACAGCTACATTATTTTTGATAACTCACCTTATGTGGATGCTTGACATGAACACAAAATCCCAACTCCTTCAGTACCCTTCTTTCTGCTTTGATTACTTGATTTTTGGTGTTTATGTAGTTCTGATCAAGTATCAGGGGGCTTGGAGTCCTATAGTTTGCAAGAAATAAAATCAAAACTGTTTTGCATATCCAAAAATAGCTGCATCTCTGTTTTCCCTTCCAACCAACTAATGGCAACAGAAACCGGTTTTCAACTCCTGCAAGCAAGTTTAAGCATTAATCTTGTGCTGTCCAAGTTTAGATAAACTAGTTTAGTTTCTGCTTTTGACCAGCTACAGATTAGATGGCTAAGGGAAAAAAAAAAAAAAATCACCCTTTTGCTACTGTGTATGCAAACTACACTGGCCCAGCTGCTGGAATGCAAGTCAACTTCAGAGTTTCTAAGAACCTTTACATCTCAGGACAGAGGTGGGAGAAGGAGTGTGATACAACTACCTTTGCTAAGTAGCACTTCAAAGCAGAAGTAAGCTAGAACAGGGTTTTTTATAGGCATTAAAGAAGCAAGCTTGTGCTTCACAAACTGCAGTTTCCTATGCACTGGAAGACAAGATTTTTCAGATCCTCAGAGAACAAAAGACAGCCCTGCTATTGTGATATAGCAGAAGTCCACTACAGCAAAGAACTTCACCTCTGAAATGATGACAAGATCTGCCTATGATTCTGAACACTGCACTCACTAATCAGTGGGTATTATGTCACTTCTATTTGCAAACCAAGAGCTCATTTCACAAAGTCCCAAGCCTAGCTCTAAGTCCTAATTCCTTCCAAATCCAAACCTCAACTCCAAAGCGTTTTATCTAAAATAACTTGCTATATGCTTTATGCACAAGCGTCACACTCCATTTTGTATTATTTTCTTTTTCCGTGCTTAGACTTGACCTTTCAACATTCCACTGTTTATTTTAATCCACTTCCTCCTAAAGACAGACCAGCTTTTTTCCTGTTTGTAATATGCTTCACATAATCCACGCTTTCCAACACAGAAGGAAGTTTTTGCAACTAGTTACACTCCAATAAAACACACTGTGTTCGCGTGATAAACCTAGTACGCCCCAAGCACTAGTGACAAATTTATTTTACATTACATTCAGAAGAAAAAGTAATGCAAAGTGGATTCAAAATACAGCTTCTGTTTTAGCAGATTAAGTATTTCACTGCTAACTTGTCTTTTTTGGTTCCATGAATGTTCCACAAGGGGATCACACTTCTCCTTCCCTGATAGGTCACAGAGTAGAAAACACTCAAAAAAACCTAGGTTCCCCCCAGAAAGAATGGGACCACTTAATTACAAGGCTGGTTTAAGAGCTTCCCAATTCCAATAATCCACAATTTATGCCAAGATAAAGATAAACCACAATTTATGCCTGCAGTCACCTGAAGGATGGTTATTACTGTTGGCCAGAGGCTACAAGCAACTCACTTCCCAAATAAAATCATGTTGTACCATGCACCTGAGCTCCCCCTGCTCCTCCCAAGGGGCTGAGAAGCAGCTCCCTGGAAGTCTGGCATGAGCTACTCCACCTCCTTGGTGCCAGGACAGACCTACAATTCAAGTACAAGCCCTACTACAGCTGTCTCCTAAAAAACCACGATGCTTTCCGTGTTACTCAGAAGTAACTTCTCTATTTAAGTGTTACTCTTGTCACAGAAAGCTGATTTCAGCTACTCTAAATATAACCAGTCAGAAAGTCAGAATGTTGGGGTTTTTTCTTCCCATAATTTAACTGGAAAATAAAAACTTAAAGAGCTTCTTTAAGGCTACTACTTCAGTAGAAAGGCTACAATTTTATCTGAACACTCCAGCACTGCTAAGGCTGCCTGAACACAATGCTTTGGAGTGGGAGACTGGAAGAATCAAGCTGAAATCCTCCACATCACTGAAACTGATTCACTCCCAATTAATTTCAACTAACTATACTGGGGTTTATAATAACATTTCTCCCAATACTGCTTTACACAATTTTATCTAGAGATCACTGGCATTAACAGGATCTGCAAGGCATCATTCAGAGCAAGTTTAGGTGTCCAGGCTCAGCTTATCTTGTTAGCAGAACACTTCAGAGGTGACCAATCTTGGATGAAATGGGGCAGCTATGATTTTCAGTCTAAAAAAATACAATCAACAGCATGACTGCATGGGATCATCCAACAACCTGCCGCAGGATTACCATCTTCTGCATGTCTCTGAACGCTATGTAAGAAAGTCAGTATTATGAAAACACAATAAGGTAGCTCAAAGTGCAACAGGAAAGAATGAGCCTTGTTGGATTTTAAGTTTTCACTGTCCTTCTGCAGGGGCCACAGGATCAGCACAAACAGTTCACACTTTGGTTGTACAATGTTCAACATCAAAGCAATAGGAAACTCAAAATTAAGGCACTCGAGAGTGTTGTCCCACATTACTCTGGTCAATTATGACACAAAAGTTCTAGAAATCTACAGATCAAAGGAAGCCATGAAAAGTATCAGTTTATCCAGACAGTGTTTCCAGAAACAGAAGGACAAATGCGGCCTTTTATCCACTTATGCAAAATAAAAATCCACAGCAGACTTTACTGCGCCGTATTACTGGCAAAAGGCAGGTTCCCCACTGGATTAAAATTTACCTGTTTGGTACTTTTGCCATGAACTCCAAAGTGTTGGGATGCGTGATTATTTAGAAGTTGGAAACTTCAGACATTTCTCTCTGGAAAACTTCTTAGCTTTCCTACTAAGAACTTTGCTACTGCATTTGCTGCATTTAGTTCTCAGTCCAAGAAATAATTGTTTTAGATCACAAATACCAAACCAGAGAAAAATAATTTATAAGCTCATATATAAAAAAATAAGCTTCAAGCCCTATAAAGCCAAGTAGCATTACAAATTCTTACTTTGAATCTCTTCTTACAAATCAGCACTAGAGCTCCAGGCAAGACTTAAGAACAGAGAGCACAGTGCCCATTCTGGTACAACAACACTGAGTCGCAAAACTTCGTTGGGATTTAGGTTGCACGGCCACACCGTAATGTGTTTGTAACAATAAATAAATTACAGATATCCTTTTTTTAAAGTCCCTCTAACAAATGAAACCTAAGTTCTTGACACAGCTACAGCTTCATTTGATGAAATATTAAAATCTCATGTCTTTGGAATGTCTAATACTTTGGAGGAAAAGCGCTCTGAGTGTAGTTTTGGTCGTAATGCAAAAGTACTTCTGACAAGTAGAGCTTAACATCAGCCTCTCGTTTCAGATCTCTCTTGTGCCAGTGTGAATTCTCTATTTGTCTCCAACATTGTCAATACAAGCACTGTGGATTTATAGAACGCTCTGAAGAACACTAAGTAGTGTGTGTGGTTAATACAGGCCACTTCCAACACAACTGCAGGGGCCTGCCTGCTGCAGCAAAGCGAGGGACAGCTGACTGCGCAGCGCAAACCGACGTTGCCGAGATTACACCAGGACAGGAGTCACATTTGGGTCCAGGCTCCTAAGGACTTTTTGCAGCTTTCAAGCACATTTAAGATAAATAAAATCAACTTCAAACTACATTCTACATGTTAAACAATAGTTGCACTTTGCTCAGAACACAGATGTTTCGGCACACAGTTTCTTAAAAAGCAGTATTTTCATAATACGAGCTTTTCTCCATGCACACAAACATTTTTACATGCAGTACCACATGACATATGCTCGTGAAAGATCCAAAAGAAAATACGCTTGTCCAAAACACTTTTAAAGCTTTTTCTTACTTCTCAGTATTAGAAATACCACCTAGCAGTTGACTACAGGTCTTACAAAAAGAAAATTCCAATGCAATTCCCAATTCTGCAAACAGGTACATAGAAGGGACTGCTTACATAGTAATTTATATAAACAGCTTTACAAATTCAAAACTTCCGTATCCTTGTGAAGGCATGTTGTACTATGAATTCAAACTGCAAATATACAGAGCCAGAAAGTGGAACTAAGAACCCAAAACTCTTTAAGAAAGCAAGCAAGCCTACTCAAGCTACTCAAACTTCATGTGCAGGTTAAGAGCTTCAGTTAACAGAAATGCTAGGCTAGAGGTGAAAAGAAAAGTACAGCAGCCTAACTGATTGTTTCAGTTCTGGGTTGTGTGTGAGAAACTAACTACAACCTAAGTGTTAGCTTCAGGTAAAAAAGAAAAAAAAAAAAAAAAAGATTAAAAAAAAAAAGATTAAGCTAGTATTCTAAAAACCTGGACAGCAAAGAAAAAAGCTTATAACAAGATACAGGAGTTCTTCCAAATGGTTCACCAGCGGCCAACCTGTTAGTCCCCCGATTCCAGTGACCTATTCTCAGAGCACTGGCTTCTCCTTGGGGATTTTCGATACTTCACTCACTGTTGCCATGACGACAGCTTCATCTTTATGTACCACTCCACATCACCCAGGCTTTGGTAAATGTAGCTGGTCGCTGTATAGTCGGTTGCAAGGGAAAAAAGAGTTGAAGTTAATAACGTGTACAGATTATTTAATTGTAATCTTGTAAAAAGTACAGAAAAATGTTTACATCCTGCTTGTTTAAAAAAAAAAAAAAAGCAAGTCTGAATGTCAGACTTCAGCATTTTTTAAAGATTAATTTCATGCAGATTCACTCAGAATCTCAGAGCAACAATACCCATTTCTCCAGAAAATAATGGGTAGAAGTGCACGATTTCTCTCGACATGATGCATTTTAGACACCATGTAACATGCACAAAGTGACATTCTGATTTGGAACAGGCTAGCTGGAAAGATTTAAGTTCACAGGTTAAGTTCAGTTTCTCTGATCCTTCGCACAGCATAAAGAAACAACTAATTTATATTCTCGTTGCAAAGAAAAGCATTGCATATGATTAATTAACCTTCACTGTCTGGATCAAGGCCAAAACATTACAAATCACTGAACCAGCTTCAATAAATCCAATAACCAGACTCCCTTATCAAAACTGTGGTAAGAAACAATACCACCGAATTCACATTCGGCATAACTTCACAAAACTGTCTCAGGACCATCTGGGATAACAACTTAAAAAGAACAAAGCTAAGTTCCAAAGCGTAACACCGAAGCGTTCTTCTTTCATCTAAAGCTACCTAGGAAAACACGAGCACAGGGCAGTAAAAGCAGAAGCTTCAGATTCACCAGAAGCATAAAAGACACAAAGAAACAGCTGGTTTTCCTAAGGGGTTTCTACTCTTACTGCTCAGAAAAGGTTATACAACACTAAAGTTTAAATTCCTGTTGTAACCTGGTGATACAGAGAAATGAAAGTGTGAATTTAAGAATCTAGCTGAAAACAAAATCCTTCTATAACTATAGATCACCTTACACTTGAAGCAGTCAGCCTCTACAAGTAAAGCTAGTTTATCACAGCTGATGTCTCCAGTCTCACACTGTAATGCTGCTGCATGACAGATTTAAAGAAATTTTGCATTTAACAGCAACTGAGAAAACTCCTTCCCTTCAACCATTCCTTGTTCCTTCCGATACATCGAGTTACTTTGCTTTACACACAAAAACATACATCGCTTTACACACAAAAAAAGCAATATTAGGCACTCACAACTGAGAGCAGCTCTACAACTCAGCAGACAACGATCCAGATCTGCACACAGATCAGGTAAGCTTACTCTCCAGCTTCACCAACACAAGCACACGGTACCGTGAAAAACACAAGTCTCACTTTTTCCAATTAAAGATGCCTTCAGCTTCCAAGACTCAATTACACATTCCTTGTTGAAGTGGTGTCATTAAAGCTGCAAACGCTGTAGGCCAAACCGTACTTTTTTTCAGATACTTTCTAAAAGGTAATACTATCATCACTGGGAGAAGTTCAGCTTCCATCTTTTGTTAACTGATACTTTACCGGCACCACAACCACATTTGGGCAGCTACATACTAACGAGAGGAAAGCGTTAAGACTGCCAAACACGGTTAAAAGACTGGAGAAAATACAGCAACCCGCTAAGTGGCTACTCGTGCCTAAAACTACCTTTCAAGAACTACAAAACATCAAAAAACTATCAGCAATAGACCTAAAACTACAACCGTGGACCTAAAACTAGAACCAATACTCATGACTCATAGCTATTTAAGTAACGAAAACGGGTCTACCCAGTAAACAAAAGTACCAGTAGAAGAAGTCAGCATTGAACTGTACTGCCTACACAGCAGCCAACGAGCACTCCCTTCTCAATTTTAGGTCGTTGAACTTAGCCTGGAAAAATACTGTGAATTGAAAACTGCAGTGCACATTAGTGACAACAGATGCTTATGTTCGTAACGAAGCTACTCTTACCTTTTTGCTCTTAACTGACGCAAATGATGAAACACGTTGATCACGTCCCTTATACGACGAGGCGCCTCTTCAATTTTGGACGCGAGATTGATGCAGGCCATAGCAACAATCTGAAAGGAAGCCCCGATTCCATGAGAAAACGAAGACTAGAATTACACAATTTTTAAAAAAACGAAAAAAAAAAACAAAACCCCGTGGCCTAAAAACTCGAAGAGCACAGACTGTTTGGCATGTGACTGGCCAAATTCACCAGTCGCCGAAACAGCGGCTACAGCCGCCTCCTCCCCGTCAGCGTCCTCCCCCCCGCCAGCCCGCGCCGCGCTCACCTCGAAGCTGTGCTTGACGAAGGACTTCGAGTAGAAGAACCGATGAAACAGCACCTGCCCCGTCGCCATCGCCACCTAGGAACGCAAAGAGGGGACGAGGAGGAGGAAAGAAGGAGCGGGAGTCACTCACCGGGCCCAACCGCCGCCGCCGCCATTTTGTGTCAGGCACCAGCTGGCGCCGCCGCCCCCCCCC